GACGGTTTTAGCACAGAATACGTTATTGACCGGCGAGAGATCCCGCAGGAACTAATGATAAACCGACCTCGCTCCGATAAAATTTGGAGTCTGAGATATTTTGTCCGCAAAGGGACCTCGCTTCAAACTTCGACCACAGCAATCACTTCGTACTCATTAATGACCGAAAAGTCAAATATTCTCCCTACGGCATCCTTGAATAAATTGTTTACATTAACGTAGTAATCGAAACGTGCTTTTTATTTGTTTACTCTTACAACAAGAGAACAAATTTGATTCGCGGTAACTTTCATCGGCTAACGTTTTCTTCCTGGGTCATGTACGATTTTGAATTACTTTAGCATACGTGAGGCTTGTGAGTATTTCTAGCGACAAGAATTGGACGAATGCTAAAAAGAACTATGTCGCACGCCAAACCTATGCACATAGTTCTTTTTAGCATGAATACGTCCAATTTCGAGTTGCTGAATCTACAAATCGTCATTTTCCAGACGAAGAAACGTAACTATATCCCAAGGTTGTCAAATCGACTCAAAAAATTGCTTTTTTTTTACAAAATGTACCTACGGAATGTTTCTGATTTATGCATAAGATTTGAGGAAAAATCAATGAAAGTTTCATTTGGAGATGCCCAAGTTGCTCATTATTAATATAAAATTTGCGAGGGGAAAGTCGGCAATATTGAAATGCAGTTTATTCTTTCGTAAGGGAAACGGCGAAATGTGGTAAGGTAGGTAACAGGGCCACGACCCTTAATGTGGAAACTGAAATTGCTCAGTACAACGGAGAAGTTGACTTGGGGTCAGGAAAATCAACTTTCATTTTTAATCCAAGACGTTTCCTGATATTGGGTGAAACTTATGGGTTGGGTCAAAATTTCAAGCCATAAATTTCAATATCAATAATAGTGTAAGCTGTTACATAGAGCCTTTTTTTTTTAGGCTGAAAACCGTGTCGGCAAACTTGAACAGCGTTTTTCTCGAATTTTCCGTGTTTTCCCCACAAACTCTGGAAGGCTTCCATAGAGTCAATACTTGAAAATTTTGGGTGTTATTTGCGCTGAATGATGCAGAATCGTCCCGTGGTATATTTATCTTTCGTTTATTTTTTTTTCTCTCTGAGGCTTTTTTTATATTGACTTCATCACACATATCCGTATGGATTCGACGATGGTAAAGATCATCCTGTCCATGGCTTGATGAGCCCCGTGGGCCAATTTGTGGATAAATTTCCCATCGAACATGACTTCGCAACGTTGTTCCGAACACTTACGGCATGAGGGTTTCCAAGGAAGTGATTCCGGCGGAAGAAAAAAGAAAGTTTTATATTAACTTTTGTTGGGAAGCTTTATTTTAAGCTGTGACTTGAGTCTCTCTGTCATGACTCACATGTGTTGACGACGTTATTCTGTGAAAGTAGGTTACGAGCATAGGGTTCGGTTCCAGATTTATGAGCCGATGGAATGCGGGGAGGATTCGGAAAAATATCCGAGCATGTTCGCGGACGGCCTCGTTTCTTCATTCAAGGAAACCGTGGCGTGGCGTGAAGGATCGATTATCGATATCTCGCCATTTGAAGCTATGGTAAAGAATCGATTACTAAGGTGTTCGCTGCGAACACCCTGATAATCGACTTTTTTTCGTAGGTTTGAGTGGCGTATCAATCGATGTATCGCAAAGCACGCCACGCCACTGCAAGGAAACAGGCTCTACAAAGCGGAGCTTCCTAAAATTCAGATCAAGGGCCGTATTCATGGTCCTTCCTTAAAATCTCCTTTCCTTGGAAAATCCGCAAACGATTTACACTGTTATTAAAGAAGGTACAGGGAGGTTCATAATATATCACCGATAGAAGGACGATTTCAACGAATCTAGAGGAAAATCTAATGAAGAATTCGGAAATGATTAATTGCATGGAATCACATTTCTTCTACTCTACAAAAAGTAAAAATAATGGAAGAGAAACTGCTGTATTTTTAGGGGGGAAAACCTTATCGACGGCGTAAGTCGGCAATCACATAACTCACATAGCCATGCGACGTCGCAGACTTCCTGTCATACTTTATTTTTTAAATGGAAAACCACTCAACGGCAATTTTTTGAAACTGCTGTGATTTTTCTTCTCTGTGCGGAGACAATTCTGCAAAAACTTCGAGGAATGATATCAATTTGTTCTGCTTTAAAAAAATAAGATAGAGGCAGAGATTTTCAGATACCGCAAACGAGATTATGTGATTGCCGACTTACACCGATGTTATGGTGGGTACGAACGTATATCAACCGGTGAAACTACCAGGCCATGTATCGCGGTTTGCGACGTAGTAGACAACCTGTCATAGGTACTCTATTTTTTAAATGGAAAACTACTCAACGTCAGTTCTTGAAAAAGTATATATTTTTCCGTCTCTATGCAAAGAAAAACTCTGTGAAATTTTCAAGAAATGATATTGATTTGTTCTCCTTCAAAGAAATTAAATGAAAGCAGATAATTTTTAAACACTGCGAACGAGATACGCGTTCTAAATAGTTTCACCGTCGATATCTTAAAATATTCTAAACCTGCAAATATTTTGCTTGGGTACATTCAATTTTTTGAAAAGACAAATATTTCAAGGATACACATAAAGAGTTATACTGTTGAATTTTCCTCGAACTTAGTTGAAATCGTTTTTCTATGGAGCTATATTATGGCTCCTTAAACCTCCCGCAATCGGTTAGTAGACCACATGGGGCCTCCTCAAGAGAGGAAGCTGTGTCAGGAACGCCTATGACTGCGGCCCTAAAACTAAAATGAGTTTGCTACCCACAAAATATGCTGGTTTTTTTTTGTTTTACTCATTGTGGTGTCAAAAATGAGTTCGCTCATTCCCCAATCCATCAGAGTCTGGAACCCGCCCCACTGCGAGGCACGAGAAAAAACGGGAAAAGAGAGATAGAAGAGATGAGTTTATAGAACCGGGGCAAATCTCTCGAATGGTAAACATACCGATAGCGAAAACTGGTGACAGTGCAATTTTACCCCAGTAAATTTTACTCATTATTTTCAGTTCTCTTGTGCACAGCGTACCCTTCAGGAAGTATTTATAATATTAGACTTTTTTCAGCTAGTTCAAGTGTCGGGTTTTATCAAAAATGCCTCAAAAATGAAATTGAAGAGAGGAGAAGACAAAAAATAAATGAAAGAGAAAGGGAGCGATGATCCATGCCCCTGTAAAGTGACAAGATCTGAGACCATCAAATCAAATCACCCAGCGACCCGATTATTGAAATTGATAGACAAAGCTATAGACAAAGATGACAAAAGGGATATGGAGGAATCCTATTGGTGAAAGTGGTGGTTGCAATGGACAAAGGCAGTGGGTGATAGACAAACTAACGGCAACCCACGAGAAACCCGACAGTTAGTCCATCATTTTCTCCCTTAGTCTATAAGAACCACGCATTTCAACCAATAGGATCGCTCCATAACCCCTGTGTCTTCTTTGTCTATAGCTTTGTCTATCAATTTCAATAATCGGCCCGCTGGTTGGTATCCGAACCTGCCGAAAACTCTGGGTCAGTAAGTAGTTAGTTGCGCTAACCACCGGGCCAGCCCAGGTCGGCTTGGTATTAGTTAACGGTGGGTTTTGGCCCTTGGTGATTTATTTTAAAGCTTATTTAAATAGACTGATTTATAACTAACTGCGCGACAGGATCTCAGTCAACCTAATGTTTTCGAACAAACAAAAGACCAAACTTTTCCAACTCAGAAGTGTCAACGCACGTAACTATACGAGAGACCTTTTCTCTTTACACACTTGCTTACCGTCATTCATAACTAAGCCTCTTCAACCATGAAGTTACAATTTTAACTTACAAAAACACGACATGGCTTTATGATACTTTTATGAATGACATTATGAAACTCCATGAGCGTGTTATATTTTTTCTTGCCTAATCCTGTCTACATAAAATCGAATGCGTTCCTTATAAAGATTGCTCTCAGTAGCCAAATATTTTGAATTTAAATTATAAATCAAGTAAAATGGATCTAGAAGCCCTATTCGTATTAACAACATTTTCATTCATTACAGTTCTAGACAGCGTTTTCTCGGATTAGATATTGCATCGTTAAATGTGAAATCCAAAAGCGAAGTTATTAGCGCGAAGCAACAAGAAATTACATGAGTAAAGCGAGCACCGTGGTTTACACGCAATGTGTGAAGTATCCTTGCAGTCTCGCAGGAGGTAACATGCGTTATCCTGTGGTCACTCTGTGATTGTCACTGGAAAAACACCACCATTCTTTCTCAATGCTTGTGCTTTTCGTTTTCCCATGTGCACCAGCGTCGTCCTCTGATTTAGTATACATAACATCTGTTACCAATCCCACATTTCTGCACATAAGTGTTTGTTCAAAACCTCCAAATAGAGAATTTGCAGGTGTCTGAAATTTGATGAATTTCGTGTTTAAGTGGAAACTGCTGATTCTGAACACGAGGATATTTTTGGTTCATGAATTGAACAACTATTGGAGAAGATAGGACGAAATGATCTCATCTGCTAAAATACTTGTGTATGGGAAATGCCGCCAGACAACGTCACTGGGCGGTGCATTTTCTCACTTTTAAATCTATTTTTATACTGTTTTCCATTTCAGAAAAAATTATAAAAATACTGCGAAATCAGCTCTTTAAGCACTTGCAGGTGAAGCAATAAAAAATTTGCATGCAAATTCTCCATTAGGTACACTGGAAAGAAACACATTGGATCTAGAGTCCAGACTCTTAAAAACATCGACAAGAAAAAGTACTCTTGATTCAATCAGAATCTAGCTTAAATCAAGAACCAAGCCTCTTAATACAAGCGGCTTTCGTTTTGATTCAAGCAAAAATCCGATTAAATCAAGAGTATTTTTTCTTGTCGATGTTTTCAAGAGTCTGGGCTCTAGATCCAATGTGTTTTTTTTCCAGTGTATAACTGGTTTCCTTCATGCTGTCAAATTGAGGGTCAATTACTCACCATGTACGCGAAGAATTGCTGACTAGGTGAGAACCAGACGTCGGAACGTATGTTTTATCCAGCATTCGATTCACATCCGATTTCATACTTTTCACTTTCACTTCGTTTTCAAAACCTCAAGAACACGCACTCCGCGGGTATTACTCGCGAGGTTCGTCGAGACTCGAGAGTTGCACCAGAAATCACGCACAGCACTTTGCGGTCTGGACGTAAGAGGGTTTAGTGTTGCTCCTTCGATTCCGAGTGGATGAGACCACGCACAGGAACAAGGGACCTGGAAACAGAAATTTTTAGGCTCTCTCAGGCATTGACGTTGCAAAATTAAGCACATTTCCCCCCAAGGATTACGGAACGGAATGAGCAAACCAGCCGATTCAGGCAGGAAAACTGGCAACGTGCACCGAAAAAGAGCTTTGGATTACGGCCCCGCCGTCCCTTGTTAGGGGGATCCTCTCAGGATAAAAGCCTTTTCCCTTTTTTCTCTTCTCTGTTTGGACAACTGCCAAGCTCAAACAATCTTTAAACGATGAAGGGATTTATATGGTGGCTAATTTTGACGCACTAAATCATTATAGAGGGGGCTGCTGGTTCTTCTTTGAGAGGGAGGTAGAGAAATTTAATTTTTTAAGGGGTCAAAACGAAATATTTTTAGAATGGCTTAACGATTCATGAACGCACGTTCTCTTATTTGAAAGCTAGAAAGAAAATTACCGTTTAGTGTGAATACATTTGTGAGAATGGTAATCTAATGCCTGTTATAATTATGATAGTGAACGTTCGTCTCAAATTACTTTAAAATTCCGGTTTGCTTGACTTTTTAATAAAAAATCGTTCTTCCAAGGAAATGATACGTCGCTAGTTTCTTCATTTGTCTAATTTGTGTTTCATTCCTTTCTTGTCATTGGGATTAGACAAATAAACAATCTAAACAAAGTCGTGAATTTTATAATGTTGACCCCGTGAACATCATCTATTAAAATTATCATCCAAGTCTCTCCAATCGTGTTTCGGTGCTGAAATAACAGCGATCTACGGCTCTTTTTGCCCATTCGTGGATCCAGCAATTTGGCAACATTGTCTTTTCTCCATTTAAACTTATGGAAATGTATCGATTCCTGGAAGGGCCAAGTGCTCCGTCAAGAATCGATTATTTAGCATAAGTTTAAATGGAGGAAATCCGGGGTTGCCAAATTTCTGGATCTGCCTCTGTTTTCGCCCCTTTTGTTTAATTTCCATTTGAATTAAGTTGCTTTTCATGTATCCCATTTAAAAACAATCCCACCGAAACATGACGGAGGAGTACCGCTTATAAAAGGGATGAGAATCGGTCGAGATTTTGAAAAAATCCGCTACAAGAGGTGAGCCGATTCACCGATAGAGAGCTTTTTCTTTGTGAGCATCCCTCAGCCGTTGCGTATTTCCGAGTGAACGAGGTTGGCCGATACAGGTATTTTTCTCTCGTCAAAACTGCAGGCAGCCGAGAGTTGAGAGATTGTCTGCTCACAAGTTGAACCCACCGTTCAAGAAGTGAGCCTCGAGGGAAAGGTACGTTGGTTTCTCTCCGCATACACCACCTATAGCGTGATGAAATAGCTCGGGGAAAGGCTGAAAACCTCCTCCACCCTGGGGATGCCACATTCAACCGAAATTCCATTCGCTCGCCCGAAATAGCCGAAAAAATCGACGACCATATGGCAACCCCACCGCGACTTCGTTTCTATTATCTCTTCATGTATTTCACGGAATGGCTAAACTTATGAATGAGAACTTCTTGAATCGATCCGCACTTCCCGAGCCGTGAGTCCCGGCCACGAACGGAAAACGTTTCAAGCCACTGACTGTCAGACAACAGCATTTATATTTTTTTCAGCTTAACCTCTATTTTTCTGCAGCTCGTCCGACAGCCCGATAAATTATAGGTGCCGCATAGCAGCGTTTAATTTATGGCCAGACGTAAATCTTTCGCGGAAAATACGTTACGTTTTGACCGCGAGGGGGACCCGTCGCTTTGAAGTCCTTTCGATGCTCCGCCGAGCGCTCGGGAAGTATTCCGGAGGATCCGAGTGACGGAAGTTCCGATGGACGGAAACGTGAGGCCGTGTTCAAAAGGGCACCTTGAACAGCTCCTTTCTTTACGAGGGCCCTGTATAGTTAACGTAAAAATAAGGAACATTTGAGGACACCTTCAACGCATAGCGATATTGAAAACAATTTTTACGAAGCATAAGCGAAATTCAATGATTTATCTTCGGGGTTTATTTTCGGGGTCTTTATTTGATTGGGTTCCTCCCGGAAAAAGGCGGCGTGGACGTCCAGTAAAAGGTTGGCGAGAGGGAGTGGAGGGGGAGATCAGACGGTGTAATCTGCCCGATGATTTGTGGGAGGATCGATTCCGATGGCGATTTGGAGTCGCAGAGCGCTCTAGTGCGCTGAGGTAGCGGCTTGATATGTATGTATCTTCGGGGTTGATTTTAACGGCGGATTACAATAATTTGTCGCCACCGAAATGCATTGACGAAGCATATATAGCAGGTTTAGTATATTTGGTGATAAGTCCCTACACTGATAAAAATGTGTGTGTTCTTGTGTTACTTTCGGTTAATATGGAGAGTGAAAAACAAGCCAACATACATTTTGTGTTGATTTTGGTACAGATTGAGGTGAATTTAGCGCAGAAAAAATGGAGAGACTAAGAAAATCCATTCCTCCAATTGCGACGTTTGTATTTACCTTTTTCAAATTTTTTCAAGGATACTAGCTGGCATTTTCTCTTGAAATTTTCAATCGCAGGTTAGGGTTATTTTGTGTTCTACTGCCCGTGCTAACCAAACTTTTGCGATGAAAATTTTCACGGTGCACCTTCCTACATTTTTGTCTGAATCATTGAATATTAATCATTTTAATATCTTTTAGATTCTATTTCCAAAATTAAACTGCGGAATTTTACTCAAGAAGAAAATGGTATGAAGTGTGGTTTTTTTATGATGCTACGTTAAATGCGTCCTCAAAGTTTCCTCGATCACAATGCAAACCATTTACGACCTCCCTCACGTAAGGAGCTGTACATAAAAATGACAGTGAATACGACAGTCGATTCTTATGAATTGGTCCCTTTCATTTGGATGTGTCCGTAACACGATGTCTATCCGGGCAGAAGGAGTAAAAACGGGTTACCTTATTTTTTTTTTTTAACCGAACCGTAACGCTGAAAAATTGAAGAAGAACCGATTTATCAACCGCCGACCGTCATTCAGATATTAGTGGATTTTTGCGGGATGAAGATAAATTTCAAGTTTTATTAGCGTGTAATCCATCCCTCATAAAGCCATGAAGCTTCTGAAGGGGTATTATGCCCATTATCTGAAGCTTTATACTATTCCGAAATTTATATACAATTTGGTTGCTCTGTCGACAATAATTCAAATCTGTAGAAATTTCCTTTACTCAAGTCTCATAATTTCGTTTCTTGTGAAGAACTCTTGATTCATTGAAATTAAATTTCTGTTATACTGGGAAGTTAAGCATTCTGAGGATGGGGATGCGGACGCAGCGATAAAACTGTCTTATGAATAGGGATTCACCCCAGAAATAGGGGGAAAAATCTTAGGAGGAATATAAGGAAAAATATAAGGAAGTTCCGCATATTTACATCAAAATTTTATGAGACAGAACTCTGGCCGAACAGCCCTGGCCGCGTATTCATAGAGTTCCTGTATGCAAACCCTATAGGCATTCATCCTTACACATTGTATTATAAAGGCTCTGAAAAGCAAAAATTTAAACTCTTCTTCTCTTCTTCTTCTTTTTCTGCGAAAGATTATAAGCATAGCCCAGTTCAACGTGCCGACCACTTAAAATCATCAATAAATATGGAAGACTCGGCAAATGTATAAAACCAAAACAGGGATGAAATATTCAATCATTTTCAGGAGATGAGAGCCAGCTTTATGCCAGCTTTGAGCGACCGTCTAGGCAATTAATAAAATTTCAATTAAGAATAGTAAATAGAATTTTATAGGGGTAGTTTCTTGGGATTGAGCCGGGGTGGCTATCGCCACCTAGCACTGTTCCATGTCCTCGGCTCTTATACCTTGGCGCAAATTTTGGCGAAACGATTTTAATTGCATTGAAAACGTAGAGGTTTGGTTTTGAACAGAAATATCCGAGATTTTTACCAAAATAATAACTGGAGAACTTACGAATCTTCCTAAGAATACAACCGCTAATTCTTTGCAATTAGGTGCTTGTGATGTTAGCGCCTTGATGCAACTATTCCTGCTCAAGGGACGCGTGTGTTGCATACAGCATGAAATGAAGGCGCTTTGACTGTCTTCGTTATCTTAGCTATATGCGCGAAGTATGTTTGCGCCGTTAATTGTCAGGAAATTTCTCCTTATACTTTACTATCTATGATGTGATTATATCTATAAATTGCGGTAGAAGAGGCCACAATCCAGAGAATGTCAACTTCCACAGGGTGATGTAAGTTTATCGCAACTATACACGCCCTTAAAAAAGGCGGTTGGCCGTGTTCCAATCGTATTCTGTAAGCTAACAAAGTAATTTAACAATAATTGCAAGCTGATTATTGAAATGCGATAGGCGAGGCTGTAAAGAAAGAAGACGACAAGGAAATGGAGCTATCTTATTGGTGGAGGAGGGCGGTTGCAATGCACAAATGAGGTAACTGACTGAGGTAAAAAATAATCTAACAAACGGCAAAAACCAACAAGATACCTTGTAGTTAGTCCATCATTTTCACTCTTAGTGTCCAAGAGCCACCCGTGTCAACCAATAGGATCGATCTATTTCCCTTTCGTATTATTTGTTGTCTATCAGCCCGCTTAATGATTTTGGAAAACTACGTTACTGGCACACCGGTGGGCAAGAACAATAATCCTCAGTGTCATGCAGCTGTTCTACAGAGTTCAAAATATTCTTATCGTTCTTAAACCAAGATTCTCTCACAGTCAGGGTTAATTTGTGTTGTTCTCCTTGTTTTGTTTGTATATTTGTTTAATTTTTTATCGACAAACTTAAAGTTTTAGTTAGAATACAGCAGTAGCTAACACGAAGGACCCGCCGAGAACGAAAGAGACAGGGAAGCGTTAAAAATTAATATGAATTTCACGCATTCAAATCT